GTTGTGGCTCAGAGGTACAGCACTTGCTTGGCATGTGTGAGGCACGGGGTTCAATCCTCAGCACCGCATATAAATAAATAAAATGAAGGTCTGTTGACAACTAAAAAATATTTTTTTAAGAAAAATCTTGTCTTGGAGGAATAAGCATAATCAGAAATTGTCGTGATATATCAATAAGTGAAAAAAAACAGAACACAAAATATCTACAGTTTGACTTCATTTTAATTTGCATTTTATACCTTTTTTAATTTGTATTTCTGTACAGTGAAAGTACTGATGATTTTAGTTTTCTTAAGTGTTGTTCTTAGTTTTCTAAGTTTTTCCTATAAGTATGCATTATTTTCACAATTAGGAAAAAATGTTATTTTAAAAGCACAAATAAGAGTGACTTGGAAGACAAAATGGATGCTGGAGAACCAAAGTAGAGTCCCAGCTCCACTGCTTACTAGGGTTTGAACTGGGCAACTCCCTTCACTAAGAGCCTTGGTTACTTCACAGAAAAAGCAGAGATACTAATATACATGACTGTGAGAATTAAGTGAGATGATGTAGGTAAGGCAATTGATACTTAATAAAGGATAACCAATATTATCATTATCTCAATCACTCAGTGACTCCTTGAAGAAAGTCTGTGCTCTGGATGGTATTTCTAATCACCCATTCAGAGCAAGCTGCCTTGGTCTAATGTCCCCTATCTGACTGGTACACCTTACACACCTGCAGTACCAAGGAGCATCCCCTTCATACTGACCTGTCCTACCAATGTGTGGCTATCATTCCACCTCAGAGACAGCCTTGGCTTCACATCCAGAGATATAAGTCCAAGTTCTGGGCTCTGTCCCCTGGGAACTGTGTGATCTTAGACAAATTACTCTCCTTCTCTGGGCTGGTGAACCTCATCTGTGAGGTATTTTGAGGAACCTCCCACCCTTGAATTGCCTCATCTCTTTCATCTATTGGGTGTGTTCTTACAACTTAGGAGGTTGAGTATACGCTCAGATGAGAGTCTGGACACTGGGTGGGAAATGGCCATGCATGTGTCGGGTTTAAGTCTGGGGAGATCCATCTCATTTGTTTGTCTTGGTTTCAGCCCTCGGAAAGCCAACAATGGCTGTCTCCGAATGACACACTGAGAGATAGCACTGCTTCTGTAGCATCCCTGCCACGAACTCAGGGCTGAATTCAACCACACAGAATCATCACCAGAGAAGCTCAAACGGAGGGACATTCCACAGAATAGCTGGCCGGGACTCTTCAAAATTGTCGGTGTCAGGAAAGCCTGAGGAACTGTTCCAGGCTCCAGAAGATCTAAGAAACATGACAACTGAGTGTAAAGCATGACCTGGATCTTCTTTTGCTACAAAGGACTTCATTGGAGCAGCTGGTGAAATCGGAATGTGTTCTGCAGACTAGAAAATTGAATTTTTCAGTGGTTATTGCCCTGATTTTATAATCATATTGTGTACGGTCATATAAGAAAATGTGTTGTTTTGTTTTTTTCAGGGAAAGCCTGCAGATGTATTATTTAGGCATAAAAGAGCATCGTGCCTGCAATTTACTTTCAAAGAGTTCAGAAAGATGCACGCTGTGTTTCAGTATATTTTCATGTATATATAGATAGAGAGAAGGTAAAAGTGGAGAAAAGTCACCAGGTGTGGTGGCCCACGCCTGTAATCCCAGCGGCTCGGGAGGCTGAGGCAGGATGATCGCGAGTTCAAAGCCAGCCTCAGCAACAGCAAGGCGCTAAGCAACTCAGTGAGACCCTGAGTTCAAGCCCCACCCCCCAAAAAATGTGGTGAAATGTTTATATTTGGGAAACTGAGAGAAACATCTGTGGGAATTCTTTGTACTTTTCCTGTGATTTTCCCACAAGAAAGTAAAATTATGTGGAGAAACCAGTGTCGTGCTCCTTGCTCAACAGAATGACAGCCATTGAAGCCCCTTCACCTACTGAGCACTTATCAAGTGCCAGAGGGTCTTCTCTGATGCCACAGCTGTGCCCCTGTGAGCTGTCCTGATGCCTCTTGACAACCAGACTTGGCAAGTGACTTGTACCAGGTCCCACGACCTGAGGCCCATGAGCAGCAGAGTTGGGGTATGAACTTGAGTCTGCCTAAGTCCCCACTCCCAGAAGTCGTCGTCTTTCCGGAAAGAAGGTCACAAAGCCACACACACTATTGCTGAAGCTGTGCAAAACAAAAACCTAGCTGTTGGTTTCTTTCTGAAACGGAAGGGGAGGTGTCGGTGCCATACATTTGGTTGGGTCCGGTTTGAAGCTTGGTTTGATCCGGTGAATATTCTCTTGGAACTTCTTGAACACAGAGAAGTTGGGTCTCTATGGAACGAGTGCCTGGTCTCGATTCCTCGTCTCCCACCTGGCCTTGCTGAGCACAGGCCCTGGCTTTCCACCTGCGGCCTGCGGCTGGTGAACTGCCCTGGTCTATCTGACTCCTTGAGGCCTAGCGATGATACCAGACTCATGTGGCCTCAGAGTGGCCATGTGGCTCTGTGGGCCACTCCGAGTTCTCCTCTACCCTCTTTGTAGGCTCTAGACCTCCACTCCCACCTCGGCGCCCCCTCAGTGGGTGCTCCAACAGTTTTGCCCAGGAAATGAGGGTAGCAGCACCAATATCCAGATGGTGCTCTTTGTGATTAACGTAATTCAGCATTTCCATTCCGGTGGGCAAACAGCTGCTCTCAAGTCCCTCGGGTGCCCCTCCTCCAGGCCAGCTACCTGTGGCATATCTGAAGGTGGTTCTCAGGCCAGAAACGGAAGGGTTAACGTGTGGCAGAGCAGGTGGCCTCCAAGATTCTGCTCCTGCCCCTCATCAGCACCCCTCCTGCTGGGAAGTATTTTGAATGTCATTGCCCCTTTCTTAGCCTGACCATGCAGGGTCCCCTCTCCAGTCTTATTCTTGGGCTGGGGCCAAGGCCACCCAGGAGAGCTCTCTTCTCTGAAACTCTCGAAGAACTCTGGACAAGACCTCCCTGCCCCCGCCCTCAGTGTTTCCCTCAACTTATCCCAACATTCATGCCCCTTTCTGGGCTCAAACCCAGGGAAAAGATGGGCAGAGATTCCCTCACTCTCAAGTTCAAGTTTATTCCAGAGGCTAGAAAAACAGAACCCCTTTTATTCCCAGTCTCTCTTACATCGGGAGTGACCATGTGACAGTTCTGGCCCATCAGATAGGAACAGAAGTCTTGTTGCATCACACGACTAAACGGATCAGCGTTCCTCCAAGTGAATTTGGGGAATAAATAAAGACACAGACACAGAAAGCAGCCTTTCTTTGGGTTCAGTAACCGCTCCTCAGCCGCAGCTCCTACAAGGGGGGCAAGACAGGCCAGAAAGAGAGAGCAGCACGTGCTGAATCCTTTTATTAGGGAGAAGTCATTCAAATGAGGCAAGGGATCAGGTTCACAAAGGAACAGGTGAGTGTAACCCCTGCAGGTGACGCCTACGCCTGGGGCCACGCCTCATTATCCCAGTGGGGCAATGCCCAAGTTATTGGGACCTGGCCCTTCTGTGCCAGGCTGAAGGCAATAATTGGTCAGAACCCAGTGCATGAAGACTGAAAGGCATCTGCATCCAGGGCAGCTCCGACAGAGCCTGTTAAGGAGTTCCAGAAAAAGTGTCTGCTTTCCTGATGAAAGAGGCAGTAGCCTGTACCAACACTCCTCCAAGACCCTCTTCTTGCCCTAAGCAAGGACATGAGGCCTAGAAGTGTTTTTGTGGGATTGAGGGGGAGGGCTAGGATTGAACCCAGGGCCTTGGGCATGCAAGGCAGGCACTCTACCAACAGAGCTATATCCCAGCCCTGAGGCCTAAAGTCTTGATAGCCATATTGTGAGCCAAGAGAATCCAAAGATGCACAGTTTACATCTGCCTCCAGACCTCTCTCCCCGACCCTGGCCCAGTACTGGGGATGGACCTGGCCTGCTGGGCAAGTGCTCTACCACGGAGCTACATCCCCAGCTCCCCAGGCTTCTTTTATTTGAGAGAGAGAGAGAGAGAAGAAAAAAAAAAAAGCCCCTGCCAACTGAGTTTCCTAGAATTTTTTAGCTAAATATGATCCTAATGGATACATCACAGTGGAACCATGTGTCTGTCTACCTCCCTGATTCTGTTCACATTCTCTCCCTGCCTTCCGGTCCCACAAAGTCTCAGGCCCAGGACAGCCGTGTTTCCCTCTATTGTCTATTCTTGCTCATATGATAACTACTTCCATAAAACTCTGACTGTCCCACCTATCTGCAGCCTCTTGAAATGTCCAAGTAGCAAGTAAAGGAACAGAAAAATCTTTCTTAGTCGGGCGCAGAGGCGTACGCCTGTAATCCCAGCAGCCAAGGAGGCTGAGGCAGGAGGATGGCAAGTTCAATGCCAGCCTCAGCAACTTAGCAAGGACCTAAGCAACTCAGTGAGACCCTGTCTCTAAATAACATACAAAATAGGGCTGGGGATGGGGCTCAGTGGTTAAGCCCCCCTGAGTTCAATCCCTTGTACCAAAAAAAAAAAAAATCCTTCTTCTCTCAATAGAGCTGCTTTGCGTTCAAACACACCACCCCCTTCTGAATGCCAGAAGTTTATTACTGACTATTTTATCATTAATATCATTAATTCTTATTATTATGACTCATCATTAGCTCTGATTCTTAACTCCACCTTGGTTTTTGCATCCTTCTGTCAAGTCCTAGTCTCCTGTTATAATCTCACATCCTTCCTACGGATGAGGAGGCTTGGGGGAGTTGGGCTCTCGGAGGTGGAGTAACTTTTCCGGAGTTGCACGGTCAAAGCATGCCACGGCCAGGACCACAACCATCCACAATGGTCATTAATGCCCACTCTCCCTGGGCACCTTGTCTCCCTCCACCAACCACCCCTCCCACACCCTGGACTTTATCCCCTTTCCTGGGGGGAGGGGAGCTCAGTGAGACAGCAGAACAGAGGAGCTGGCCAAGTATGATTTATTGGACAGCAAAGGTGGCAGTGCCTGGAGCCGCTAGGTGTGGTTAGGCTTGGGACGGGGCAGCGGTTTGAGCGCATAGGCGAGACAGCACAGGGACGCATCTGGGCACAGGTGCATGAAGGACTCCTGCCTCGTGCAGTAGGTTCGGCAGGCCCCTTGGCCCTTCCAGCACCGTTTGAACTCCGTCCTCCCTGTCAGAGAAGACTACAGGTCACAGAGCCGCACATAGGTCAGAGGTCAGACCAATGGTCACAAGTGAGGCCACAGGTTAAGCCATCTAGTCATAGGTGAGAGTTCTGGTTACCACTGAGGCTACAGATTTCAGTCCTGGTTAACGCACAGGCTGTACCACTGTGAACAAGTTTCTTGTCCACGTAGAAACCGCTCAAGGTCACACAGTCATTAAAAGCGGATCCAGGATTCAAACCCAAGCAATCTGCTCCAGAGTCTACACTCTGAACCATGACACAAGCTGCCCTGATATAAAAGGGACTGTTTAAAATTAGATTATAATGAGGAAATTGCCAACCCTGGGCCATAGAAAAGACAAGGCTTAGAAAGAACAGGTCCTATCCACCCCCACCCCAGTGGTCTTTGGTTATATGGCCTGAAATAGAATCTCTCCTTCATTTATTCATTTAACAAACATGGAGCGTCGAGGGACCCACAATAAACAATATGGCCGTGGTCCAGGCCCTTCCCACAGGCAGGGAAAGCAACTTAAAAGCAAGCAAGTAGCCAGGCCTGGTGGCACACACTGGTAAGCCCAGCAACCCAGAAGGCTGAAGCAGAAAGGTCACGAGTTCCAAACCAGCCTCAGAAAGTTAGCAATCTTCAGTAATGCAGTGACACCCTGTCTGAAAATAAAAAGGACTAGGGATGCAGCTCAGTGTAACATACCCCTAGGTTCAATGTCAGTACTACAAAAGGAAAAAAAAAAAAAAAAAGACCCTCTCTCAGAATGAAGTCAGAGTCCGGGGATTAGCTCTGTGGCAGAGCACTTGCCTCGCATGTTCCAGGGCCTCGGTTCAATTTCTTGTGCCACAAAAGACAAGGGGACAAGCAAATAAATAGATGGAAGTGATCAGGGCTCTCTGATGGCCAATTTGAGCAAAAATTGGAAAGTGAGACAAGATTAGAACCACGGAGGCTTGTCTGTTGCGCAACATTTCTAGACGCATGGCTTCAGACAGGCAGAGAGCGAGCAACTCAGAACTGGGACCGAGTGGAGGGTGGAGGGAGAGGCTTGCCTACGTCTCCCTGGACTAAAGAGATTCCACACAATCCTCAGATGACACCTTGGGACCATCCACAGGTTCCCCTAGCCCTGCCGACTGGCCCATCCTGCCATTTGTCCAGGTAGAAAATCTCAGGATGATACAATGCTGGCCTCAAAATCTCTATGGGACAAAGAATCTGTACTCTGAAGAGGGTGCTTAGCACAGTGATCAACAGTGATGTGACCTCAGCTCAGAACTCCTGAATCCCAATCCCAGCTCCATCATTTCCCAGCCGAGTGACCTTGGCCTTAAATTCCTCAGCTCTATGGCTCTTTTTCAGAGGAAAGTTACAGGATCATTTTATCCCAAGGCCTGGCACAAAGTGAATGCTCAATTAGTAGAAGGTGAGATTATCAGAATAACAGCTTAGTAGTTGGAGCTCCCACAATCCATTCTAGGTAACTCTCCACTATCCAGATAAAGAAAGGAAGGGACTTGCTCAAGATCGATTAGCTGCTCAGTGGTGGGTCTCGACAGAACCAGAGCCCCTAACTCTCAGGCACTGGCCATTCCTAGAATAAATACTCTTAGCACATCATCACATCTGAGTTTCCCAAGTACCTAAGACCCAGAGATGTTATTTTCTGGAGGATGATCTGCTTTCCCCTCCTCATGTCTTTGACGAGACCTCCCACGCTTTCTAGTCCCCATTAGTCACACGGGACTCCATGCTGTTCCTCACACCAGGCTACCATCCTCCTGCCCCAGGGCCTCACTCCTTGATGCTCCCACCACCTGGAAAGAACAATCTCCCCTGCATCTCACTCGATTCAGAACTCGGTTCAGACCTACCTTATAGTACAAAACTAAAACACCACGGAATGTACTTCCAGATAACTCATTGGAGCAGAGGAAAAGGCCAATAACAGAACCAGCTTGGTTCAAGTGCAAGGTGTTCTCGTTGGGTGACAGGTACTAAGGAGTTCTTTAAACTGGTTTTTTTTTTTTAATTTGTTTGAAATTTTCTAAAATAAAAAAGTTGCTTTTAAAATCTCAAATCATTACACTAATCTGTTTTGCATAAATTTAAATTTTTCCAGAATGAAACATTTTTTAAAAACTCACCTTCTGGAGCTGAGGGTGTAGCTCCGTGATAGAGCACATACGTAGTTAGCATGCTAAGCATTTGTGAGACCCTGGGTTCAATCCCCAGCACCAGAGCCCCTAACTATAATCCCAGTGGCTCAGGAGGCTGAGGCAGGAGGATCACAAGTTCAAAACCAGCCTCAGCAATTTATCAAGGCCCTAAGCAACTCAGCAAGACCCCGTCTCAAAAATTTTTAAAAAATTAAAATAAAGGGGCTGGGGATGTGGCTCAGTAGTTAAGCACCCTTGGTCCAATCTCTGGTACAAAAAAAAAAAACTCACAATGTTCACTATTCTATTTTCATGTGTACTTGAGAATTTTCTAAAATAAAAAGATTGTTTAAAGCCCCATCAGATTTCTTCCTAGACCACCCCGTCAGCTTGCCCATCACCCCCTGCTGCTCTCACCCCTTACCTTGCTTTTATTCTTCTTATCACAGACACATTATGTGTTTTTCTTTTTTCTATTTCCACCAAATAAAGTGTTAGCTCCACAAAAGCAAGGACTTGCTTTCTTCCAGTCAAAATCCCAGCATCGTATCAGTGCCTGATGCACAGGATTTTTGAAATGCATAATTGTTGAAGAAATCCCATTTTACAAATTAGGAAACTGAGGCACAGCTGATTTAGCCATTTGCTGTAAGTCAGTGGTGTGGCCAAAATTAAATGTTGATCTTGGCCCTTCTGTCCTCCAGGACCTGGGAGCCTATTACACACACACACACACACACACACACACTCACACACACATACACTCACACACACACTCACACACATACACACACACACTCACATACACACACACACACATGGGTGACATTACCTGGTGGCACATGACCCAGGACCAGAAGAGCCACAGTGAGTAGTAGTAGCTGTGCCATGGCTACAGGACTCCTGGGGAGGCTGCTGGGGAGGACTCAAGGGGAGAGGAACCCAGTGGTTGAGCCTGGCTGCCTGTGGAACAGCCTTTATGGACCACAGATGAAGGCAGGGCCAGGGACAGTGGTGGGAGTATGAGGCCATGTTGTCCCAAGGCTGCCTGGGATCTCAGCCAGCTCTGTGGGAACCGGTCAGCTGCACCCTCCAGAGGCTGCGCAGCTCTGAAGCTGGGGGCTGAGTTTCCTGAAGCCATGCCTGGGGACAGAGACTGGACACCTTCCCTGTATGGGTGAGTGAGAAAAGCCATGACTTGAAGTCAATCCCAGGATCTCCCCCTAGTGTCTGGGAGACCTTAGACAAGTCACTTAACCACTCTGGGACCCCAGCTGTCATCTATGAAATGATGACGAGCCTCCTTTACAAGGATTACAAATGAAGGTGTCCCTTCTTAATGGCAAGGAGAAGGGACGAGAACACACTGGCCCATTCAAACAAGCATGCATTGACACCTACTCTAAAAATGGGAAGAAATCTACCTCATAGAGAGTAATAGCTACCCATCTCACTTATGGCATTAAATGAAACAATACAATGATTCTCAAAACGTGTCCCCAGCCAGTAAGTACCTGGTCTGAACTGGAACTTGCAAACTCTCCCGCCCTTCCAAACCTCTAGGGGGTGGGTCCTGGGAAACCGCAGCTTAAGAAGACTTCCAGGTGATTCTAACATACACTAAGGTATGAGCACCACTAAGATAATGTATATGCTAGAGCCTGGAGTCGTGTCTGGTAGTCAGGTATCTAAGCTGCATTGGGAAAGATGAGTAGAGAAAAGGGTATCCCAGGCAGAAGGGACAGGGGGCACCAGAAAGAGTGTGTGGAGCAAGGCTCTGTTGAGAGGAGAGGCTGAAATTGACCCTGCAGAGGACAGGAGTGAGGGCACAATAGACCTTGAATGCCAAGTTCAGCCTTTTGTATTTTAGACAACCATAAGTACTTAGTGGGGGTATAACCTGTTGAGGGTACAGTTTTAAATAAAGAAACTGAAACCCAAAGAGGGGAGTTGACTTGACTGAGGTCACCCAGCAATTGAGTTGCAGAGCTGGCCTGGAAGCTAAGTCATCTCACTTCCAAGGGTGGTGTCTCACCACACAGGTGAGAAACGGAGGCCAAGAGGGTCATGCCCCTGAAGGAAGCCAGGCATGAGGGGTTTGGTGTCTACCCAAGACTTGCGGGGGCTGCTGTAGGAGTTGTTCCAAGCTGGACACCTGAACCCCTCAGCCATGACAAGTTCCACCCACAGGTACAGCCTGGTCTCCAAGGTCTCCCACACATATGCACCCCCAAGAGTTACAGGAAACCAGGCACAATGGCACATACCTGTAACCCCAGAAACTTGAAAATCTGAGACAGGAAGATCACAAATTACAAGTCACCCAGGAAACTTAGCAAGATTCTGTTTCAATTTTTTTTTTTTTGGGGGGGGGGGGATTGAAATCAGGAGCACTCAACCACTGAGCCACATCCCCAGCCCTATTTTGTATTTTATTTAGAGATAGGGTCTCACTGAGTTGCTTAGTGCTTAGCCTTTGCTGAGGATGGTTTTGAACTCGAGATCCTCCTGTCTCAGCCTCCTGAACCGCTGGGATTACAGGCAAGCAACACCGCACCCAGCCTCAAATTTCTTTTTAAAAAAATAATAATAAAGAACTGGAGATGTGGTTAGAGGGATAGAGCAGTAACAATCTCCAGTAACACTAACCCAGACACACACACACACACACACACACACACACACAGGGCCCCACAGCCAACTTCCCTACCAAGATCAGTGACTCCTCCTCCAACATACCTGGGGAATTTTGTTTGCCTTGTTTTTAAGCCATGAACTATTATGGAAAGGGACAATAGGCTGAAAGGCAGAGAGACCTGAGTCCAAAGCCCAAGTAATCCTCAGCTGGTGAATAAGCAAAGGAATGAATGACAGCAAAATCAGATATTCAGAAATCTTCAGTACAGACTTCCAGGACTCTCTCTTCCCCCAAGCTGTTTCCCAGCATTAATCCTCCGTCCAAAACAGAGTTTCTCCAAGTGGAGTGCAAGAACGATCTGCATCAGGACGTTTGGGAGTTTGTTTAAAACATTTATTCCAAAGCCGGGATGTAGCTCAATGATAAAAGTTGTTTGACTAGAGTAAGGCCCTGGGTTCAATTCCCAGCACCCCAGAAAAATAAATAAAATAAAAAGATCCCCGAAACCCTGGGACCTAAAAAACTGAACCTTTACCAAGCGGCGGAGTGGATTTTGTGAAGGCTGAAGTTGGTGCCCCGCACTGATGGATTGGACCGATGCGGACGCAGAGGGGCATCCAGACCCTTCCTCTCTCTTGTCGGCTACCCCGACACTGTCACCCCGACCTCGCGCAGGCCTGGAAGCGGCGGGTCACCAGGGGATCTGCAGTCTTAAAAACGCAGCGCGGCCCAGGCTCGGGGCGGGGACCCCGGGGCTCCCTGCCGGGGCGGGGCTGGACGGGGCGGGGTCGCGCTCCTCCCCGGCCCGGGGCGGGGCGGGCCGGGCCGGAGGGGCTGCTCGCCGAGGCGGGCGGTCCAGCCTGCAGCACCCAGCGGCTGAGGCGGCGGGGACCCGGACCCCTCCCCGGCCGAGGTAAAGCCCCGCGCCGCCCGCCGACAACTTGCCCAAGTTGGAGCGGAGTTCGCGGGGCGCCTGCTGGGGGGTTTCTGCGGAGCCGGCGGGGGCCGGGGAGCTTCGAAACCGCGTGCGGGGTACGGGTCCCCAGCCCTGGGGCCGGGAGGGGCCGGGAGCCGCGGACTGGAAGCCCCCTGCCCCGCGATCGGGGCCCTCACACCCGGGACCCCGGGCTGGGAAAGCTCGGACGCAGCCTCTGAAAATGGCACATGCGTTCCCGGGCCCTGTGGGCTCCCCGCCTGTCCCCCGCCGGGACCCTGTCCTGTCACCAAACCTGGGGCCTGGCGGGCTCGCAGCCCCCGCCTTCCAGCAACAGCTGGAGGCCGTAGCGCCAGCCGCTCCTGAATTTTTCACGCAGGGGGCGGGCCGGACACGCCGTTCCCATGACACCAGGGCACTCGGGTTACAGCCGGAGGGATCCCCCGGTCCCCCTTGCCCTTCTGGGGCACCGACCCCGTGGGATCCGGCAGCGGAAGTAAACCCCCCAGCGGCCCTCAACCCTCCTGGGCACCCCCAATCCAGAGCGTGTGGAAGAGACCAGTGGGAACAGGGCGGATGAGGGCAACTCGGATGCCTTTCGTACCAAGGGTCTCATGTTCTAAAGGAGGGGCAGGTTGTGCATGGACATCCACCTAGCTGCGGTCTGTCACCTGGGGTGGGCCATCCTTAAGGCATGGGACATGGCCTCTGGGTGTGCATGTTCGTGTGTTCACAGCCTGCCGACTCACCCCTTCCAGGTGACCTTACCCTGGGCCTGAAGCCAGAAAACCCCCACTCCAAGGAGCAGAGGTGCCGCCTCCCGTTCAAACAAGAGAGGACTGTGGAGGAAGCCTTCTCAACCACGTCAGGACCCTACAACAGAAAGAGGGGCTCAGAGCAACTGCCCATCCCTACTTCATTCAGGGGGAAGGAAGAAGGAGTGGCCAAAGCCCTTCCCTCCCAAGGATGACATTGAACACCCAGCAGGAAGCAAAGACCCCCCTGCGACGGAGAGCCAGCACTCCACTCACCCTGTCATCCCGGGGCCACCAGCCTGGTCGCCTATGCACAGCAACCCCCAGTCAATCCCAGCATCCCCGATTGGGCCAATCAGCCTCCCTCAACCCTCCTGTCCGGAAACCTTCACCTGCCCCAGATGGTTGGTCCTCTGAATCCAGCGACTCGGAAGGCTCCTGGGAAGCCCTCTACCGAGTGGTGCTGCTTGGAGATCCTGGCGTAGGGAAGACCAGCCTGGCCAGCCTCTTTGCAGGGAAGCAAGAGCGGGACCACCATGAACAGCTGGGAGGTAGGGGCCTTGTGGGGTGGGGTGGGATATGGCCAAAAGAGTGAAAGGCCTGTCACCAGGGGGCAGAGGGCTGCCAAGAACAGTTGTAGGAGTCATGCACTGTTCAACTCTGAGCATCATTCACGCAGACTATGAAGTGAATGATGCTCACCTGGATTGTGCAGGACGCAACCTGCATGGTGGTCCAAAGGAGGGAAATCCTTAAATAGAATGAGAAAATTTGCCAAATTTTCATGGATGAGACGTGTATGATTCACCTTCATGTCATAAGGGGGGCAATTCAGAAAACTGTCAAGAAATGGTGGACTTTCACCCAACTCAGAAACTCCCATTCCGAAGTCCCCCTGACTCTCCGATGCCCCAGACCCATAGACACCCAACAATAGCCACCATGACCTACAACAAAGTCTCTAAAGTGGAGACTCCCAGATCCCCGGAACTGGGTTGCTTTATACCCAAGAAATGCAGTGAGCTCACAGGGCCAGGGGACCCAGGATGATTGGATATGGGGACAGAGGAAATGAAGAGAGATCCCAGAGGGATTGGATGGGAGGACATAGAGTGAGTGGGGCGGGGGTTTGTTAAAAGCAGAGAAGAGGTGGGGACAATCTGGCCCTGCTGTTTCTGCAGCCTCAACACTCCTAAGAGTGAGAACTCACCAAGGGGCATATAGACTTACACCTGCATGTGTGTGAATGGGGAGACCAAGGCCCAGAGCTTAACATGACCTGCCTGATGCACACGCTAAGTCAGAGACTGTGGGGCCAGGAGGGTTCCCAGCCCAGCTTTAACCCCACCGCCCCAACCTTTCAATCCACCACACTTTAACCCCACCACCCACTCATTCAATCCACTACACCCACCTTCCTGGCACCTACCACGTGCCAGGTACTATGCCGGCAGCCAGGGAAGCATGGGCTCCTCATGGAGTTTCTTGACCTACCAGGAAGGACACACCAAATAAGTGTGGTGAGCACTCCCAAGGAGAAGTGGAGGGGTGATGTGACCAGAAAGGGGGGCTAGGGAGCCCCACATCTCCCAGGCCTGCCCCTCCTCCCTGAGATACAGTCTTCCCTTGGTTGCAGAAGATGTGTATGAGAGGACCCTCACGGTGGATGGCGAGGACACCACACTGGTGGTCATGGACACCTGGGAGGCCGAGAAACGGGTATGGCACTGCAAGCAGGACTTGGGGGACAAGGTGCTGAGCCTCACACCACACTCTTATTCTCACCTGGGACACACAAAGCAGGGTTTGGGGCAAGGGCCCTTCTGAGCATACTCCCCCAAAACCTACAGCTCCTAAACAGCCTTTCCAAAGACAGAGACCCTCACAACCCTGATCCCTTCTCTCATTCCGTGGATCCCCTCCTGGCACCCACCCCAAGATGTGCTTCTCCCCTGCAGGCCTCCCCAGCATCATGACCAGCCTCACCCCACCCACCCACTCACACTGTGCAGGAGAAGGCAGGCTGCATTTGGCACCAGGATGCCCAAGGTTGAAGCCCCCTTTCTTTTACCTACTAGTTGTATAGCTTTGTGCAAGTGACTTGCCTACTGTGACCTACAGTTTTCTTGCCTGATGAATGGTGAGTTGTTCCAGACTTTCCTGTCATTCTGTCTTCCTCCTCAGCTGACTTCTGTTGTTGTTGTTGGGTGGATTTTGGTGCTAGGGATCAACCCAGGACCTTGATTAGGCAACATGCTAAGCATGTGCTCTACCCCTGAGCTGTACCCCCAGCCCCATCATCAGCTGATTTTAAAACTTTCTTAGGCAGTTCCAAGAGGTGAGCCTAGTCTGGAACATGAATAATAAATGCTGAGCAGGGTGGAAAATTGTATGTGATAATTCTTATTAGTTACAACTAGGTAGATAGTGAAAAAGGAAACCAAAGGGATCCTTCCTACCCGCTTCCAAAGGAGGAAATGGACAGCAAACAGGGACATGTCTCTATTATGACTTTCCTATCTTCTTTGGGTTTTTATATGGTAATATATGCCTATTGTTGACCTTTGAGGATATACATGTAAGCAAAGAGAAGGATCCAAAAGTCATCTGAAATCGCATCTTCTTAAAGGGTAGCACCTTTCCTTAACTCTCAAGGAGGCCCCACCCTATGGCAGTATTGAGTGATTGACTAGAATGGTGGCCAGTTCCACCCACAGGCCCAAAGAATGAGAATGAAGGCGCTAAGTGGTCAATTTCTCTTAACAAGCTTAAAAAGTAATGCAGATCCAAATGAGCATAATAATGATGATTCTTACAATGACAGCTGACATTTATGGTGCACCCTCTTTCACTGGATGTATGACATTCAGGCAAAACCAAAAATATACAGTTAGGCTTCTGATTCCCATTCTACTGATAAAGAAACTGAGGCTCAAAGAGGTTAAATCAGATGTCCGAATCTCTGAAAGAGCAGATAGGATTCCAAGCCAGATCTATGCGACTCCATAGCCTGTGCACACCAGGACAGCCCCTACCTGTGTCCCTCGGGAGCATCATCTTCTGAACCTTCAGCTCATTCATTCATTCTAAAGCACTTAGTGGGTGTCCGTCATGGGCCAGGTGCTGGAGATGCAGCAGTAAACCAGGCAGACATGTCCCCTGGCCTCAAAGAGCTCACAGGTGGGTGACTGCAGATCTATTTTTTGGATGCAGTTGAGGATTCCCTGGGCATGGTCCAGTGAGTGAAGAAGAGGGGTCAGAGAAGGAGCACCGCACTGGGGACAAGGGGGGGAGGTTACTGGGCCTGAAAGCAGGAACTGGAAATCTGCACCCAGCTTGCTGTGAGGCCTTGAGAATGTTTTCTCCTCTTCTCTGGACTTTTGTTTTACTTTTCTATCCATAAAATAAGGAAAGTAAACCAGTTTCCCCATTCAGTGCCTGTGAAGGGAGTTCCCAGAGCAGGCCCAGCAGTGGTAATCTATTGGAATAAGCACCTGTCCTTTCCACTCTGGACTGGACGGTACTCTGATGTCAACAGATAGAATTGGACAGAACAGTAGTGCCCTGCATTGGCTGACCATCTGATCAGCTGGAGAGGATTAAAAATCAAATTCCTAAGCTTCACCCCTAATGAATAAGAACCTCCAAAAGTAGGGTCTGGAATCTATATTTTGAATCACACTCCCAGTTGCTTCTCACCCACCAATCCATGCACCAGCTGGCTATTGGTGATCACCTGTCACATCCTCCATAAATATTTGTATGATGAATAAATGGTCAAGCCCCACCCTCTCATCCTACAGATGGGGACAGGGACCCTAAGGGAGGAAGGAACCCATCCATAGTCAAGGTTGAGAACTCACCTCACTTGGGACTCCATCCCAAGCTTACTTGGCCTGAGGAATGATCAGTGTGGCTGTTGAGAATGCATCTCTTTGACAATGATGTTGTCTGCAGATCTGATACTTTCCCATTCAAGTATCTTATTTGGTTATCAGGAAATCTTCTGACTTACAATCAATGCTTTCGCCACACTCAACCTTTCCCACTCCAGACCTTAGCATCAACGTTCTCTTTATCTGGAACCTCTTCTCTCCTGCTTGGCCTGCTCACCTTTCAAACCCCACTCACTGGTCCACTGGAAAACCATCCCACAATCTGCTGACCTCCACCCCACCTACCTGGCTCCTCCAACCACTTGCATATGGCCCTCTGGAAGGTACACACCACACTGCATTAGAACTCTCCATTCCAGCTGTGTGCAGTGGCACACACTTGTAACCCCAGCTGTTCAGGAGGCTGAGGCAGGAGGATAATGAGTTCAAAGCCAGGCTCAGCAACACAGTGAGGCCCTAAGCAACTCTGTGAGACCCTGTCTCTAAGTAAATCACAAAAAAGGGGGTGAGGATGTGGCTTAGTGGTTAAGCAACCCTGGATTCAATCCCCAGTACCCCCAAAAAAACTCTCCATTCCACTAACATCTGTGATGGTTTGGATATGAGGTGTCCCTCAAAAGTTCCTGTGTTAAGACAGAAATGTTCAGAGAAATGACTAGATTATGACAACTATAAGCTCATGAGTGGATTAATCCATTTGCTGGTTTAGTAATCTAAATGGGCCAGGTGGTAACAGTAGACAGGTGAGGTATGGCTGGAGGAGATGGGTCACTGGAGAAGGGCCTCTCTCTGCTTCCTGGTGCCATGTCCTTCTGCCATGATGTTCTGCCTCACCTTGGGCCCCCGAGCAATGGTGACAGCAGACCTTAGACTATACCTCTGAAACTATGAGCTAAAATAAACTTTTCCTCCTCTGAGTTGTTCTCGTCAGGTATTTTGGTCACGGTGATGAAAAGCTGACTTTCACAATCCCCCTTCTGCACCAGGAGCTTCTGGAGGGCAGGAATGTGTCTAATTAAACACATAAATTTATTACCCAGGTGATCCAGTTTCAGAATGCGGTCCCTGGCTAATGGCCCCCATCCAGAATGGAATATCAAAATCACTCCCGTTCTTTCCTTTCCTTGGCCAAACAACTTGAAAGGACTCAACTTTTTTTGTTTGTTTGTTTGTTTGTTTTAGTTTTAGTTTTAGGTGGACACAATGTCTTCATTTTACTTTTATGTGGTGCTCAGGATTGAACCCAGTGCCTCACGCACACTAGGCAAGCACTCTACCACTGAGCCACAACCCCAGCCCCAGGACTCCACTTCTTAAAGGGAAGGGGATGATCATTTCCATCCCCCTCTGAACTTACACTCCACAGTTGCTTTTTAGCCCCTTTCACTTCAAAACTGCCTGAATAGGCCTTCCCTGAAGTCCACCTCCTGTCCTCATTTCTCTCTCTCTGTCTCTCTCTGTCTCTGTCTCTCTCTATCTCTTAATTCCGGATTGCAGGCATCCTACAGAAATGTCTAGCAAAGCCAAACCCTCCTCAGAAACCAGACAACAGAGCGGAACAGGCAAAGCCAGACCACCCCCTCTCCCTTGGCAGGAAAAGGAACCAAGTCCTTCTCTGCCCCCAGTACCCAGCCTGTGGATGTGATCAGTGAATGACAAAATCAAGTGATGCAGTGTCCACCCAATTTTTCAAGCAGAGAAACCCAGGGTCAGAGAGGATCAGGGGTTTTCCCAAAGTGACACAGGAAATTATGATAGAATTTGTCCCCCAAACCTGTGCAGAATGTAACCTCAACCCTAACCCCTCCCACTAGACCAGACCAGCCTCTTTCTCAGCCAGGGCCAGGCGCCCTCTGAGCACAGGCCTGGGGTCCCTCCCCTACAGGATGAGAGCTGGAGCCAGGAGTCGTGCCTGCAGATGGGCAGCGCCTATGTCATCGTGTACTCCATCGCGGACCGAGGCAGCTTCGAGAGCGCCTCTGAGCTCCGCATTCAGCTGCGGCGCACACATCGGGCAGACCACGTGCCCATCATCCTCGTGGGCAACAAGGCGGATCTGGCCCGCTGCCGGGAAGTCTCCGTGGAAGGTGAGCCCTCCACCCACCCTCCTCTCTCCCTTGACCCCACTGCCCCTCCTCCAGGGCTCTTGCCTGGGGGCTCTTTGCCCTGCCAACCCACTCCCACCCTGCAGCTTCTTGACTGGGCAGAAAACTGCCTCCTCTCTCACCTGGGAAGAAGTGAGAGACCTCAGGACTTGGTCCTCAAATCCTGCCAGCCCCCTTGCCTCTCTGCCCCGTCTTGGCATCTCCCCTTGGTCCTAAGCCAGTCTCTCTAGTTCTCTAGCCCCTCACTCAATCGGTCCTCCTTGCCAGCGGCCAGAACCAGAATTGACCTCCTGATTTCTTTCCTTTCGAATTTCCCGGTAGCTCCACATGCCCTGAATCAGGGACACCTGATTCACCAGTCAGAGGCCCAGGGCCTATCCGCTTTTGAAGGGCTTATGTTTGAGAAATTACCATTATTGGCTCCAAAATGAAGGGAGAAAATGATAAATTTAAGTTTTCCAAAGCTTTAATTGTCTAAAAGGAACATAATATTGTGTCAACCAGCAACTACAAACCAAAACTTTTTAAGTTATCTATCAATTACATTTACAGTGGGATGAGAATATTTTAATGTTTCATATTTCTGGTGGGGTCCATAAAGATCTTAAAATGGCCCTACTTACAGAATAAAATCTCTAAAAATATGGAAACTGAGACTAAAAAGGAAGAGAAAGCCAGTTTCACAAGTCATCAGCCATGAAATACTAGAATTCAGGCCCCTGTCTCACAGCTTAGTGCATCCCGGAGCTGGAAGACCATGTACTTTGTGGACAGGCACTCCCAAAATCCGCAACGTTATCCGCAGGAGATTTTGTTAAAACACAGGTTCCCAGACCTCATCCCAAACCTATGGGATCAGAATTCCTGAGGGTGGGCCCAGGAACCTGCCTTTCAACACGCTCCTCCAGGTAATTCTAATGCCCAGGAGATCAGGCCTCAATCTGGCATTCAGCCTGGTCTCTACCTGCTCCTAACCTCCCTGTCCTCCCAACCTCATTCTGCCATCAGTATCGGTCAGTAGACTGTGAACTAACTCCTCAAAGCCCCACATGATTTATCTCTTAAGTCCCCTGAAACTGCCCTAGGTATGGGCACAGGCAAGATGGCTTCCAGTTGACACTGATCCACCTCTTCCTATCTTTGTCTCTGTCTGCCTGTACGGCTCACCTGACCCCGCCCCTCAGAGGGCCGCGCGTGCGCCGTGGTGTTCGACTGCAAGTTCATCGAGACGTCAGCCACTCTGCAGCACAACGTGGCCGAGCTCTTTGAGGGCGTGGTACGCCAGCTGCGCCTGCGCCGCCGAGACAGCTCCGCCCAGGAGCCCCCTGCACCGCGGAGGAGGGCTAGCCTGGGCCAGCGCGCGCGCCGCTTCCTGGCCCGCCTGACTGCCCGCAGCGCCCGCCGCCGGGCACTCAAGGCCCGCTCCAAGTCCTGCCACAACCTGGCCGTGCTCTGAGACCACCCACCCTTCTGGGGGTTGAGGGACACTGGGTACATTCTGGCCTCCACCGAAGGCAAAGGTGCAGTTGCCTGGAGTCCGCGTCAAAGGCCCTTCCAATCCGCTGCCCTGATGGCAGAGCTTCGAGGACCCTTCGACCTCAAGGAAGCAGTGGACAGACTATGGGTCCAAAGCCTCACTGGGCACAAAGTAGAGGGTTTTTTTTTACGTGGTGGGTATCTTTTGGTAAAAATCTTTCTTGTCCCTGGGCAACCCATAGAAACCCTCCATGATAAACCTGTCCAGAAGGATGCCCTGTCGGAATGCCCAGAACGGCCCTTCTGGGCTCTTCCAGGTGTCCCCACCTCCTGCATGCCCATCTACACTGACTGGTTAGCCTACTGGCCTGGATGTCAATAAAGCCATTGAATCAATTGTGTTCTTAGGCTTTTCTCCCAACCACAGGGTATAGTCCCTGACTCATGTATTTAGGAGAAACACAGTGGATCACAACTAACCACAATTCAGTGTGACCCATTGAATTAGATTATAGAGTCTCAAAACATGATATGGGAGGAATATCAGCACTCATTCTAACAACATAACAGCTGGCGTTTGTGGGAACTGGCTATGTGCTAAGCCATCAGAGATATTAGTGAATACCTGTCCCTCCCCACAATATCCAGGAAGGTGATACCATTAACCTGCTGAGAGGAGGGTGATACCATTAACCTGCTTTGACTCTTTAGGAAACTGAGGCACAGGGACAGTAAGGGCTCACACACAGGATCATAGAACTGCTATAAGTGATATTGCCAGGATTCCAAACCAGGCTGGTCCCACTGAGTCTATACCCAAATTATCCACAGTCCTCTTGAAGAACTTGGCAAAATGGGGCCCTTGCAGTGGTGCATGCCTGTAATCCCTCCGACTCAGGAGGCTGAGGCAGGAAGATCACAAGTTCAAAGCTAGCTTCAGCAATTTAGCAAGACCCTTGCTATCTCAAAATTTAAAAAAAAAAAAAAAGGTTGGGGATGTGGCTCAGTGGATAAGCACTCCTGGGTTCAACTGAGTTCAATCCCCCCATGCTAAAAAAAATAATAATAATAATTTGGGAAGATGGGGATGTAGTTCAGTAGTAGATGCTTTTCTAGCATACAAGAGGCCTGGGGTTCATTCAGGAAAGAAAGAGAAAGGAAGAAAAGAATGGAATAGAAAAGAAATATTGTGGGGAGGGACAGAATTTCAAACACAACTTTGCATGCAATTTAAGGCGGGAATGGTCTATGAACATGAAACTCAATCCATTAATCTCCAGGATCCACCCCAGTTTATTCCAATTCATGCATTTTCCCAACGTGGAAACTCAAGTCCAGCCAAGGGAAGTGAGCACCTCAGGGTCACCCAGCCAGTGAAGACCCAGGGCCCAGGCTTCCCACAGCTTCCCTTTGCCCGTGAGAGCACAGAGGTAGTGAGGCGGCCAGCCTGCCTAGGGACAGGGTGCATGTTGGGAATCAGGTCAGGAGTTTCCAGCCAGACGGACGAGAAGGGGTGTCACTGCTTTGAGAGGAGAATGAGATGCTAACGGTTTGGAGGTTTGGACCTTCGTCTCTGACGCCTGACACCCCTGCCCCCAGCCAGCTGCCTGCCCGGATCCCTCAGCCCCGCACGTGGGTCACCAAGTTCCAGCCTCCCGGCAGCGAGACCTGGAGAGCGATAACCTCCAGCGGCGCCCTGTCCCCCAAGTCTCGCCAGCGGGTCACTGATGACACCTTTTCCTCCACCCCGACCTCAGCGGGAGGAAGGGAAGAGGAGGAGGGTCTTCCCCCGCTCCAAGCTGTCTCCGGCCTGCGGTCGGGGGAGGGCTGTGGAAAGTTGGCAGAGGCAGCCGGCAGCAACCGGGAGAGTGGAAAAAATGATATCAAACCCGGAAAAATGCAGGCCGGATGGAGGCCGGAGCCTGCGGAGTCTGCCCAGGGAGGTGAGAGGAGGGGGGAGGAGGGACAGCGTGGTGGCCAGGCTGAGAAAGGAAGAGGGGCCAAGGGAGTTCAAGAGCAGCTCTAGAAAGCTGAGGAGGGTGGCCCTCCATCCCTCCTTTCTCCATCCATAAATATTTACTGAGGATCTTCTAAATGCAGGGCACCGTGCCAGGCGCTCAGGAGATGCGGTGAATCCCGAGGAGGGTGCCCGGTGCTCCCTGGAGCTGCCACAGCCTGATAGGGCAAGCAGAAAACAAATACGAGAATGAAATAACCATACACTGATAAGAGACAGGAAATCAGGGTAGTCAGCGAAGGCCCTGAAAAACCAATCCCATACGGCTCCATTCACAGATGGGGAAACTGAGGCCAGAGGGCGCTGAGCCCAGGCCACTCAGAATGTGGAAGAAATAGCTGAGACCAGGGTGGGATAGGGACAGTATGCCGCCAGCTCTGGCAGGATAACCTGACCTGAACCAGAAGTCCAAATTCAACCCTCTTCCCCTCCACATCTCTGTGCCTTAGTTTCCCCATCCATAAAATGGATGTGACAATTCCCTCCCTCAAAGTTCACACAAGGGTCAAATGATTTAAGATATATAAAGTACTTAAAATAGTTCCCTCGCCCAGGAAGTCTCAATAAGTGTTGCTTCAGATTTGGGGGGAACCAGGGTTTGTTAAGGGCTTTGTTTTATTTTGTTTCCGGTGCCGGGATTGAACCCAGGGGTGCTCTACACTGAGCTACATTCTCAGCCTCTTTTTTAAATTTTATTTTGAGACAAGGTCTTACTAAGTTGTCCAGGCTGGCGTCATTTTGAAGACCTGGGAGTCTTCCTGACTATGACATGGAAGGACTTTAGGAAAATCCCTTTCCCTCTTGAGCCTCAGTGTTCCCATATGCCAAATAAAGGGGTTGAATCTGAACTTGTATCATATATTTATGTTCTCACATGTGTATTGTCTGCCTCCCCCACAGTAATGAAATCCACATGAGGGAAAGGTCCTAAGTGCTGCTCTGTCCCTACCACCCACCACAGTGCCTGGTTCAAAATGGGTGCTCAAAAAATGGATTAATTAACCAACCTCTCCTGACCTCTCTGATTCTAAGTGTGTGTGAACAAGATATGGCTGGAAACCGAGAGGAAATCCATAGTACTCTTCCCAGGAACACAGCTCATTACGGTTTAGAAAGTTCTTTCTTATCCATCAAAACAAATAAACAAAAATAGATAATTTTTAAAAGCTATTTCTATATGATAGTATTGATCCCATGCTACATGCTTCTCTTTTTCTCTTTAGCACAACCCTCTACTTAATAGGTATATTTCATAGATGAGCATAGAGAGGCTAAGGGAACCCAAGAAATAGATCCTAGGCCACCCAACAAGGAAGGGTCATCGGTTCAGCTCAGATTGGTTATCGAAGCAAGAAGGAATTGCTGTCTTCTTTTTAAATTTGTTTATTTATTTTAATTAGGTATATATGACAGCAGAATGCATTTTGATTCATTGTACACAATTGCAGCACAACTTTTCATTTCTCTGGCTGTACACAATGTAGTGTCACACCATATTTGCGGTCATACACGTACCTAGGGTAATGACGTCCATCTCATTCCACCATCTTTCCTGCCCCCTTACCCCCTCCCCTAAGAATTGCTGTCTTAATTATATGGATTAGGGAGAAAAGATGAATTGTCCTAGCTCAAGGTCAATGCAATAAAAACAGCAAATAGTTGCATCCCTCTTCCTAGGTACCAGGTGCTGTTCTGAGTGCTTTTCATAATTTGTTAAATCCTCAAAACTGATGATTCAACCACCGTATGCCAGTTTTCAGGTGGAAAAACTGGAGCACAAAGAACCTTCGACCCAATATAGCACCATTGGCACATACATACCAGACCCAGAATTCAGATCAGGGAAGTCTAGTCCCTCCGTGTTTAGGGCTCACCTACAGGGCACCGTTTGTTGATAGGACAAACCCAGAGTGGACTGGTACAAGAGGGGAGCAATCTTTGCCTTACCCTGCTCCCTGTTCTGGGGGCTGGGCAGAGAACAAAAACACTTCAAGAGTCCTGAGCCGCCCACCAGCTGGGACTTTCCACCTTAAAGGGAGGATACTGTTATGGAAAAAAATGATAAAGCTCTGGAAAGATGAATATCTCCCCTGAGGTCCCCCAATCTCTCCAGAGTCCCCCCTCTTGCTGTGGGGGAGGGTCATGAACTGTGCTAGCCTGGTCCACGGGAGATGAAGGCCACCTGGCTTCCAAGACACCCCAGCCAGGCTGCTCAGACTCCGGAGGATCGTTGGCCTTGGTGGAAAGTTTCAATTTCTCAGCCAGAAGCATGAGATTTCTGCTTGGAGAACCTGAGGAATCCAGTCCAGGCTGCAGCTCCCAGTCCCTGGGTGGTAGGAAATACATGTCTCATTTCACTCACATGGGGACAGACTCACAGGCTGTAAAGGAAGGTAAGGAGCACAGAGGTCCCATCTGGCAGACACAGGAATGTCCAAGTCCCTGCCCTGGCCAGGAAGGGAGCGGAAGGGTAAATGAGGGCTAGAAATTTTTTTCTGCAAATGCTTTATAAAGATGAAGAATCTCTCAGCTCTGTCATGAGCAAGTGACCTTAGACAAATGAAAATATACAGAGCGAAGAGATTTGGGTAGAATTATCCATGTGATTGTCTCTATCTCAAGACCATTTGAAAATTCTAGTCCAACAGCTTGAAAAAATATACAAGTTTGGTTTCAATTTGAGCACTGTTCCCTTCTGTTCAGTTCAGGGTTCAGTTAAAAATAATACTGATGATGGGCTGGGAGCTTTGGGTTCAGCAATGCGTGCAGTTTCCCCCAGTTCCATCTGGTTCAAGTTCAAGGGTAGGGTGTGTATGGAGGGAGGCTAACATTCCCATGCTTCCTGAATGTGACAAGACATTGGCAGAAAAGCACAGATTTTAGAACTAGGAAAAAACCCATGTTCAATCCGATCTCAGGCATCTAGTTTGGATTCCTTTCCTTCACCTTGAAATGGGAGGTAGGGAGCTG